TCCACTCCTCACACATGCCGAGCAGAAAGAATAGGTGAACACCTAGCAGAAATTTAGTGGTTTTGCGGCGCCGCTGGGGCGGGGCGAGGTGTATGTGTAGGTGTGTGGTGCAAAACGGGAAAACTCAACCATAATTATTTTCAGGATAAATATGGAGCCGCTTCATTTCAGTGACCAAATACGGCTCCTCCTTCATGCATCTCAGTTGTTATGGCCCGGCTGGGTGAAAAGTTATTTCGCACGTGATCCGCCTCTTCAACTTCGTTATACACGGAATGTGACTTTCGTTCAACATTCCATACTATTCTCGGTCCTCTGCGAAACTCGAATTCTCTAACATTTCCCTGTTGTCGCAGAAAATAATAAACAACTTTTCCAATGGATGGAATTCAATGACGGTGCAGTCAAGGTGACTTCAAAGGTCGCCAGTCTCGCGTCATTTGTTTTCATCCTATACTGCTAATGTGATCACGCCTGGTCCGCTGAAACCATGAGTGAGAGTCTCAAGTTTGCAGCCTAAGATAGCATGCATTGTGATTGCAGCCTGTCCCTGTATCGAGTTTAGGCAGCTCTTTCTTCACAAGAAGCTCAATGGTCTCTGCGTATCAGAAAACTCTACTGTCATGTGTCACAGAACTTTCCTTCCGAGTATTTTAGCCTGTTCCGTCAGAACGTGTTAGGACTGAGAATCGACAATTTTCCAAGTGTACATTTGTTAGTAGTAAACCAGTAGTAAACTTATTTCTTCATCCTTGACGTAGAAATGAGGTACACCTTATTCTTTTCCAAAAAATAAAACTTTAGGGAGCGGTTAAGCGACCTTCCCGTAAGCGAGTTTTTAATGAGATCCAGTTAGTGAAGGGAATGTACCACAAACCTGTATGGTAGTGTTGATGCCTTGTACTATTATCGTATGTAAGGTAGTATTTATACCATAGTATGGTAGTACTTGCGCTTGAAGACAAGGTGACAAGCGGCGAAAGAGCTGCTGACATGAGTACTGATGCCTGGGTGTCGTCCTCACACTCCGCTCACGCTGCCGCACGGCCAGCTACACGCCTAACCATAGCTGAACGTGCTACTTGTCTGAACCCTGTCACTTTTTTTCTCCATCACCAAGTACATGCTTCACTGCGAGACCTTGGCATCAACGCAACTGCTCCAAATTGAGGATAGCAGGTGGAGTATGGAGACGGCACATGTGTACCGACCCTGCAGCCCATTTCCCGTGCACTTTTAAGCGGAGGAAGTGGCGCGCCTCCACAGCTGTGGTCCCATTTGCTCCCCACATGGTAGAGACCGTTCTCAGGAGAGACTGTGCATTTAGTCTCTGAAGTAGTTTTGCGCTGTACTTTCCCCTGTCTTGATACTAGAACTGGAATTATGTACTTTGAGAACAGTCGAACTTTTTAAGGCACACCCAACAATTATCCCGTTCGAGATAGTGATTCGAGT